ATGTGGACACAATGCACCAGAAAAAGTGCATTCTTGCAGATATAGCTTATTCCAGCCACTCCTCCCCACCCAGTCCACCAAGCGAAATAAATTATTCTGGCAAACATATTTTTGACCCTCCTAGGCACTGGTAGGTTTGTCTCACATGCAGAGCAAGATTAAATACCAAAAAACCCTTTACGTTCCATGGCCAATTCCTTGATGAATGGAAGATGAAAGTGTTCCCCAAAGCAGATTAAAAGCACGTATACATTTATCAGGATAAGCAAAACAAAAACAAAAACCCTCAAAAATCTCCCAGATTCTGAAAGAAGGTGGGTAACAAGTGAGAGTTCAGCAACATCTCACAGTACACAGGTAAGTCATTTCCTTTTCTTTAAAACTATTGTGTGATCGTTTCTTATTCTTGAATGGGTTTTATTTGTTTTTTTTGGTTTGTTTTTGGTTTTTTTAACAGAAATGTGTCAGCACTGTGAAAGACAGTAACAGTAGTGCATAGATTATTTATGGGACACACACAGCGCTAAGGAACAGACTCCGCAACACACACAACCTAAATACAGATTTTCCTCTTAATGGTGAAATAAGGTTTTATAAATGTAGAGAAAGATGACCACATGGCTGCTGCAAGACTCCTGTACTGAAACAGATTTAAGGCTAGCAGTTGTACTGTATGCAAGAATGGACTGAGTGCTGTAAGGACATGCAAGTCACAGGCCTGCCAAGTAATAATTATGAGAAATCAGACCATAACTGAGACGTGGCTCTTCTGGTCATAGTTATGTCTCTTTAATTTATATAAATAAAAAACTTGGGTGGACTTCCTGAGGGGCCTTGTCTATTCCAGATAAAAACATAAGGACCTTTTGTCATTGAATTTATGGGATGTGGACATGAGTAAAGGAAAAACGGTCCCATGACTGGCTCATTTAAAGTCCATCACCACCTCTGTAATTCATGTATTACATTGATTGCACCACTTTAAGGCTTGTGCCAATTTCTGCAGGTATAAGTTTCACACTGAGTGATATCATTGGAACTAAGAAAAGAAACGTCCATGTAAGTAACTTGGGCTCAAAGATATGATGTGGTTCAAAAGGAGCTTTCATCAGCACCACATTAACATCCTGTGCCAAAGAGGATGTAAATTTTATGGTAGGGGGGAAATACATCCATCTGAACCTGATAAGAAGGTGCAGAGAAACTACCTTACCATATTCATTATAGGGCAAGATAACTAGTAAATGAGTATAAAGCAAGTAGTCTCAAAGCAAGCCTCAAACAAATACAAGAGTCCAGCCGTATTCTGTATGAGGTATTTGAAAGGATCTCAGTCAGTCTTTTCATAGCAAAAAACCCTTTCTACATCAAGTCTTCCTAGCAGAGCATCCCAAGAAATCAGAACTTGAGACACCATGATTCGGTTTTCTCATGAGTCAGAGAAATATACTGGATTAGAATAGAAAAAGCGGCATCATAGTGATATGATCAGACTCATTCTGATCATCTTTTTAAAAACAAAAGAACCTGAGCCTTGCATACTCTGCAACAGCTGAATTTACTATTAAATCCATTTCTCAGTAAAGAGTTGTGCCTCAGAAACAAATTTCTAGCCCTTATGGCAGCAAAGAAAACACTGAAAGTGTTAGCCTGTACAAACTAGTGCAATACTAGAGTCTACAGACAACCTGAAACACAATAGGCAAGAGGTATGAATGATACATGTATCTCAATGATGTAAGTTTGAAACCTAAAAAAAGACAGTTTAAATGTCACCGCTGTTCACTATTTCACTGCTGGTCATTTTAATAGAAACATCCCACAAGTGTGCTTACCCCACAATCCTTAACTGCCTCCCACACCTCCAAACTGCCCTCTACTCAACTGCCAGCACCTCCAGCTTCTCCATTTGTGTTGTCCATACAAAAAGCTTTGACACACCAAACACCGGAAGTATGGAGAAATCATAAGATCAATTTCACATACTACCATAATAGACACGAGATACTCTATTGGTTGCATTATTTCATTTACTTAAATATTAAAAACCTACTTTTTATAGTTTAAATGAAGCAGCTGCAAAATTTCCCATGTACTGCACCAGTGTTTCAGAACACTGGAATCTTGCCATAGAATTTAGGTCTAGGTTGCCAAGTAGTCTGAGGCCTCAGCTGATACCAACTCCAACAGACCACATTTGTCTTTACTAGTATAGGATTAGTATGATAGCTGTACACATTTCATCAACTTTCATAGCTCTAATCAGGACACTTGCTATCTTCATAGGAACTAGCAGGGAAAGCACATGCAAGCTTCCTTCACCAATGTATAGAGAAGGCTCAACTTGCCAGAACAATGTTTTCTTGGCACCAAGGGCAGCTTCTTGTTTAGCCAGATGGTAAACAAATACACTTCTGAGGTCCCCAAATGGAGGAAGATCTGATCCACCATTCTCAGAACCAGTTACAGATATGTTTTCCACCAATCAGCTAACTCTGTGAGTATGTTTTCCTTTACGTCTAAATCTGGGGCCATCAGACATTTCCCCCTCAAGACACTCCCCACCCTCCCACCTGCAGAACTTTCCAACACAACAAGCATGACTCTGTTTCTTCTGTAGAACATGGTGACAATTATCCATTTCAATTAGTACCACATTTGGGATATTAATCCTTTGTGATAAGTAGGATAAGTCTCACTTTCTGAACACCTATGTGCAGTTAACCTCTTCAGGAACTCCACATGAACTGCATAACTAAGACAGAATGACTCTCTAGTAACTAGTATCAGAGGGGTAGCCGTGTTAGTCTGGATCTGTAAAAAGCAACAGAGAGTCCTGTGGCACCTTTAAGACTAACAGATGTATTGGAGCATAAGCTTTCGTGGGTGAATGCCCACTTCGT